GGGGTGGGAACTACCGAAAAAGCGCCGACCTTTGCAAGCGCGAGGGGTTCCAACTGCGGAAAGTCGTTTTTTACGTAAAACACCCATAATAATAATATAAAAGATTTTAAGTGACTCTGTAATCGTGGACCTGAGGGAGGTGAACGTGACCGTCCTATGAGTTGTGCCTTTGAATGGTTTTGTAGTGGAGTAGTGAAAGTTATTGCATGTACTTGAGTGTTCAGTTCCAATACAGGATGAACGAAATTGATGTTAAGCTAACAAACAAATTTAGTACTAGAAATCAAAGCGACAAGTAAAAAGAATGAAAATAAAAGCACGAGGCCCTTACTCACCAACCCAAAGATCCTAAAATTATACACCATCTCATTTACTATACCCTTGACTATATCCAGCATGCGATAGCTTAATTATTATTGTGCACGCCCAGTTTTTAGCCCCACGAGCCGCCCCTGCAAGGAACCATGGAGTAGCAGTAGAAAGGCTGCAGAAAGAGTCAGGAGCCCAGAGGAGGGGGCAAAGGAGGTGAGGGGTGAGGGATGAGGGCAGAAAATGGAAACGAAAGCAGACGACAGAACTTTATTAGAGAACAGGAAAGGATGTGAAGGGAGAACATTTTAGAGAAGAAAATTTATTTTCCGTCCCTATCCGAATTCGAACCCGCGGCCTATTCAGAGGCGAACGTCTCAACCCTATTTCCATCTTTGCGGTCCAAAAGACCCCAAGGCCATGTTTTTTTGCTCTAAAATCGTCAATTTTTGACCTACGAATCTGAAACTTCTTGACTTTTCCTGATTTTACCCCCTGCCTGACCACCCCAAATTTTGTTACTCTCACGCGCATGGTTTACTCACCCCGAAATGCCTCCCCTGAATTTTGAGATTTACATGATTTACATCTTTGGAGTCCATTTGGACCCCATAGCAATTTCCATACTGCTGGCGCTTTTTTGGGTTTTGGTGTAGTAAAAAATTATTCCTGCTATAACAACTTGCTCTTTTTATCCATACAACATGAATTCTAGAAATCAAACTGAATCTTCAAATTAGAATTTCAAGAAAATACATATCAATATCAAACAGTGGCACTATTAACAAAAACATAAGAGTGCTTTACACCATTTACTCCCACAGGTATGCTCTAATCTATGATGCCTAGAAGTTTCAGATGAGGTCTAAAAAGAAGCATTATACATTGAGTAAATGAAGTTAGCATGATTGAATGGCTCACTACTCTTTTGAATGGACTTGAAACGAAGAAGAAAAAGAATCACATACTCTGCTGTGGAAGATAAACACTGTGAAACACTTTCTATAGAGACATAAGTGACAGGGGGCTATAAAAGTAACATTTTTATGATTTATATATGTGTTGTTGGTAATAATTAACAATTTTGTAAGACATGAATGCAGATAGAAATAAAATATTAAAATATATATAACTATATATAACTTTTCAGTGCTCATTGCAAACAAATATTTTGTTGTTGTTGTTTTCAAATCCCTTTAGCTGCGAGCATTTCGCTCTTGGCAGCGCAATACCTCCCTCAAGTAACCACATGTCCTTGTCATCTGGTCAACGCCAGAGTAGAGCAGGCTTTGTAAGTCTGTAGGTGTGTGTAGGAGCCTGCGTCGAAGAACTGCCAGGTTTGGGCAGTGAAGGAGATGTTGAACGGTCTCCTCGTGGTAGTCACAGTCACAGTGTGTGCAATGGGGTTCCCATGTGGGGGTTCTGTTTATGTGCTTGTTGGTGTGTAGGTGTCCTGTGCGCGCTCTGAAGATCAAAGTCTGATCAGCTCTACATAAGAGATTCGATGGGTCTTTGGGGTTGGGTTTGTCCATGTACCCAAAGAGAGATCTTCCTGTTTCTGCGTTGGCCCATCTGTTTAGTCACTCGTCTCTGCTTTTGGCTTGGATGATCCCTCTGCAGGTCTGTAAAGAGGCAGCTGTGTCTGTCTGGGGCAGGCTTGCTCCAGTCTTTGATAGCTGGTCTGCAGTCACATTCCCTGGTACTCCAGAATGACCAGGCACCCACTGCAGTGTGGCCCGGACGCCATAGGTAGTGCCCATCTGTTTTACAAGGCTGAGGATGTTCCCGTCACCTCTGTAGTCTCCTCCTCCCTCGACGGCTTGGAGTACTGACATTGAGTCAGAGAAGACAACAACATCCCCTGGTGTTACTGCGCCTTCAAAAAGTCTTGGATGATCTGCTCCAGGGTCTTTACTTATACTATGGCAACTCTCTCTCTCTCTCTCTCTCTCTCTCTCTCTCTCTCTCTCTCTCTCTCTCTGCGTCATAGTTGGAGCTGTATGTTCCACATGGGCCAAATAGTTGGGTCTGCTTCTTCTCTCCAAGGTTGCTTCGATATTTGATGGTAGATCTGTATCCAGCATTCCGTGTAACGTTTGTTGCTGACCCATCTGTGTATGCATGAATGGGAGTTTCAGCATACGAGTCCACTGTCTCGAGGGCACTAGTTTTGAGAATTTCTTCTGGTGAGGGTCTTGGCACAAAACGGGTCTAGAAGTCTCATACTTATTGTGATTTCTAGGCCCTGCCAATATGGAGGTTCGCTGCTGGTGTTGGTGATTGGTTCTCTGTTCTCGGGTGGGTCAAACTCCTCAAGTAGTTTTGTTGCTTCTCGAATGAAGAGGGTCTTCTGGATGCGTGTTCATGGTTCCCACTCATCTGCCAGTTTTCTGCTTTCGTTCGTGTCTTCTAGTCGCCCCAACTTTTCGTAGGTTTCGAGTGCAGCACTCTTTCTTCTGAGGTCCAGTGGTTCTATGTTGGTGTGGATTTCACAGGCGCTTGTCGGCGTGGTCTTCATCGCTCCAGAAACAAATCTGAGGGCTTGGTTCTGTACTCTGTCGAGCTGTGCCAAAGAGCTTTGGCTGGCTATGGATTGTAGTGGTAGGGAGTAGTCAATCACAGATCTGACATACCCTATATAAAGTTGTCGGAGGGTTGCTTTGTCAGCTCCCCTGTTGAGTGGTGAACGCTGCTTCAAAAGGTTTAGTCTGGAGGTGGCTTTCTTGGTCAGCTTCCCTAAGTGCTCTTTGAGAGACAGCTTTCAGTGCAGTTGTACACCAAGGTACTTGGGATAGTCCTCATGTCTGATGGTGGTTCCATTGATCTTAAGGTTTACCTGACCTGCTGTAACCTTGTTTTTGCGGCTGAAGAGTCCAAAAACAGTCTTGTCTGTGTTGATCTCCATCTTCCATAGCTGGCAGTAGGACGAGATAGTAGTGAGGTATGCGTTGATGGCTTGGTTCAGTGCTCTCATGTCACTTCCTTTGCTCCAGATGAGCAAGTCGTCAGCGTAGAGTGCTTTCTGGCAGGAAATGACATCTGGCTGGTCGTTCATGAACAACAGGAAGAGGGTACAGCTGAGTGTTGACCCCTTTGGGAGGCCTTCCTCGAGTGTCTTCTGTGAAGAAATCTTGTTGTCACATGATGTGATGTCATGATAGTTCTGCAAGACAGAAAGTTCTTGATCCAGCTGTACATCCTTCCTGCTATCCCAAGCTTTTGCATTTTGAAGAACAGCTCCTGTCTCCAAACACAGTCATATACCTGCCTGAGGTCGATGAAGACAGCCACAACATTGTCTTTATCTTGAAAGGCATCGCTGGTCTTCTGGGCAAATCTGATGAGGTGGTCCATAGTTCTTTTGCCTTTCCTGAATCGTGCCTGTGATGTGCTGATTGTGCCGGTGTTTTCCATCCACCAGTACAGTCTGTCGTTGACCATTCTCTCGACGACCTTATATAGGCATGATGTTAAAGAGATTGGTCTGTAGCTTGAAGGCTGACTTGCTGGATTGTCCTTCAGTACTGGTGTGATGTTTGCCTTCTTCCATTCTGTTGGGAGCTGTCCCTCATTCCAGGTCCTGTTGAAGAAGTCCAGGAGTATGGCGTGGGAAGAGTCTGTCTGGTGGAGGATCATCTCATTGGTGATGTGGTCTGGTCGTGAGGCCTTTCTCTTTTTACAATTTTTGAGGGCTGCCTTCAATACCGTCAGAGTAAACTCATTCTCAAACGCCTGAGTTCAGATTGCTCAAATCTTATTGCCCATTTTGCCTTTGCTTCATCACAGTTCCACTGTTTAAGATACAGTACAACCATATGAGGGAGGAAAACATAACATCATTACAATCCTCAATTGGGTTGTCAGCAAGTGTATCAAGACCCAAATAAAAATAAGTAGGCCTACTTTGGTCATCAATTATTTGAGTCTCCAGTCTAACAAAATCATGCAATTGTGGTGTTTGTTGTTGTTCAGTTGTTTGTAAAATGTGCTAAAAAGATTGAAAATCAAACAATGGATAATTTGACAGATATAATATTGAGAAAACAATAGATAAAACATAAGGGGTCTTTTTGGACCCCAAAGGTAAAAATAGGTATTTTCCATTATCTGCCTTCTTCATGCCAGGGGGGTCCGCTTGGACCCCAAGTGACAGAAATAGGAGATTACCACTACAACAGCTATTGGAAGTAAGGGGGTTTGCCTGGACCCCAAGAGATAGAAATAGGAATATTTAGGTAGGGTATGAAATAGGGTTAACCTTTAGACCACGAGAGTCCCCCTGTGTGTTTGAAACCTCGAGGGAAAATTTTCTTCCCTAAAATTTTCTCCTTCCACCTCTTTTTCTTGATCTCTAAACATGTCCTGTCGTCTGCTTTCGTCACCATTCAAAGATCTTTTCTCATTCTTAACCAATAAGCTCGAGTGCAGACAATCCGGGGACCCCCCCCAAAAAAAACACACAAAAAAAACGAAACTAAAGAACTTACTACACACTCACCCACTAGGGCTGGGTCACGAGCGCGAGAACGGAACTGAATCGCCACTCTTTTCTGCGGAACGCGATTCACGATTCACTTCAGCGGAACGCGGA